TAGCCAGCAGAGTGCTCTCAAAAACTGTCAGGAAAGGAAGGCTGTGGAATTCAAGAGACACGAGGGCGTGGATAGGAGAGAAAGAAAGCCTGGGGTGGTTCTTCATAAGGTTTACTCATGGTCATAAAATTTCAGGCATAAAAGAATTCAAGGTTGCCCTAGCCAGGTTCAGAGGCATCAATAATCAAATCCTCAGCTTCCACTTGTCCCTGTTCTTCTTTCTTTAATTTTTCAAAAAAAAAAAAATATATATATATATTTTTTATTGATTTTAGAGAGAAAGGGAGAAGGAGAGAAAGAGAAACATCAATGATGAAATAGTATCATTGACTGGCTTCCTCCTGCAATCCCTGACTAGGAATTGAACTGTGACCTCCTGATTCATAGGTTGACACTCAACCACTGAGCCACACCAGCTGGGTTGTTCCTTTTCTTCTAAGAGATCTGCCTGAGAAGGTGTCCACAAGGGGACAGGCAGGTCTCATTTCCTGACACTTTCAGTATTCCCTTCTTCCTCTTTTTTTTTTTTTTTAATATTTCTTTATTGACTTTAGAGAGGAAGGAAGAGGGGGGAGAGATAGAAACATCAATGATGAGAGAGAATCATGGATTGGCTGCCTCCTGCACGTCCCCTACTGGGGATTGAGCCCACAACCCAGGTATGTGCCCTTGGCCGGAATCGAACCAGGGACCCTTCAGTCTGCAGGCCAATGCTCTATCCACTGAGCCAAACTGGCTAGGGCTCCCTTCTTCCTCTTGATAGGAGAAGGGATCCTCCCATCCATCCTACTCTTACTGTGTGTATTGCCTGGGGTATAGTAAAGGCTCTCAGGCACCACACAAAAGGACAATTCTAAATATTGGTGTTCTCACTGGAAAGTAAATGACTCATAAATAAGTCCCTTTTCAAGTTAGATTGTTTCCAATAATTTGCTTTAAATCAAAATGGACGGAGGTTCTCATGAAACTGTCGACTGATATGTCACCCAAAATAACTTTTTATGATGGTCGGTATGTGATTGTTCACACTAGTAAGTCTGGAAATTTTTTTTAATGGAGACATTTGTTGCTATTAAAAGCCACATTTTTATTACATTCTGTTTCTGTGAAGGCATTTTTTTAGTATATGGTTAATTCAATGTCTTACCAACACAACCAAGCTTTCCGTTGCTTTCCATTGTGTGCTCTCTACTGCAAAGATGGGACGTCCCTCTCATTAGTCATCAGATCCTTGCAAAACCTCAACCCAAAACCAGAACAATAATTTCTCCTGGCACGTCTCTTTCCCAGGAGTCTGTTCCTCACATCTTATGGGCCCAGGGCATCCTTGCCCGTGTCTCAGTCAGCCATTTGCAAGGAGAGTAGAATAACCATTGTCTTGGACCAATCAACTTCCAACTCCGTGGTTTGTAGAGGACACTATGAAGAAATTGCCTGGCCGGTGTGGCTCCATGGTTGAACCTCGACCTATGAGGCTTGACCTCCTATGAACCAGGAGGTCACGATTCGATTCCCGGTCAGGGCACATGCCCGGGTTGCGGGCTCCATCCCCAGTAGGGGGGGTGCAGGAGGCAGCGGATCCATGATTCTCTCTCATCACTGATGTTTCTGTCTCACTCTCCCTTGCCCTTCCTCTCTGAAATCAATGCAGATATATTCTTAAAAAATAGAAGGAGATTGCAAAAGGAAGACAGGAAATGCTAATATTATTTTCATCTGGGTGGTGGGTCCATAGCGTCTATTACATCTCTCCCTTCCTCTCTGAAATCAATGAAAATATTTTTTAATAAAGATGTGGGGTAGGAAAGAGAGAAGAGCCTCCTTTGACCCCCCTCATCTAGCTTCCATCGCCCCCTTCCAGGTCCTGAAGAGGGCAGTGTGCTTTCCCTCTTAGACTCTTGTGGGACGCGACTGCTAAGGTGATCGCCAGATGTTTGGAAACTGAGGTGAAGCCTCCAGAGGATGCTTGCTGTCAGTCCCACATCGAATCCTCTTGACTCTAAGACTCTTTGACCTGAACACGAGTTAGCCCCGTTCTCCCCAACAATACCTCGGACCTGCCGAGTGAAAGCAGGCATCTCTGAGCCCATCGCAGCCTCCTGTGAAGCTGTTGCTGGAACCAGGTGCTGAGCAGCAGGCCGACCCTGTCAGTCTTTCCTGGCGGGCACTTGCCCACTTGGGGTTGTGTTGACGCAGCACGTTAATAATGTCGGAAATTGCTCAAATGGAACCAACGTACTTTCTTTTTAAGAGACTGTTGAGATCACAAATCATTCTGCAAACATAATAAGCTATGTAGGCCGGGCGGGTCCAATCCCCGACGCTTGCCATGAGCCTGCTGGGAGCGTGGCCATGGTCACGCGACCCTTCATGTGTGGAACTAAGCAGGCAGGAGAACGGCCCTGGAAAAACTGGGCCTTAAAATTGCAATCATTGCGTTGGACAAGAAGAGAAAAGCTGCTCTTTTTCCCCCTTCTGCCCTCCATGGTTTGACTTTCCTTCCCATGTCACCTCCATTTACCTAACAGTTAACTCTAGGTCCTAACTCTTGCACTTCCGGCCATGCCAACACCTGGAGGAATCCTACTCGGACTTTTAAGAGATGCTTTGTAGACATCTCCTGCTCCCCCTCCAGGAAGAACTGATGCTCTCTCTGTCCCCCCCCCCCCCACTGTCCCCTGGGGCCATACAACCCTGGGAGGGGGAGGCAGCAGAAGGCTCTAAAGCAGAAGAATGCTGAGTTCACTCCAGAACAGAAAGGTAGGGTGAGCCCTTACTGGTTTGGCTCAGTGGATAGAGCGTCGGCCTGTAGACTAAAGGGTCCCAGGTTCGATTCCGGCCAAGGGCACATGCCCAGGTTGTGGGCTCAATCCCTAGTGGGAGGCAGCCAATCAATGATTCTCTTGATCATTTTTTTTTTAAATTTTTTTATATATTTTATTGATTTTTTACAGAGAGGAAGGGAGAGAGATAGAGAGTCAGAAACATCGACGAGAGAGAAACATCGATCAGCTGCCTCCTGCACACCTCCCACTGGGGATATGCCCCGAAACCCAGGCACATGCCCCTAACCGGAATCGAACCTGGGACCCTTCAGTCCGCAGTCCCACGCTCTAGCCACTGAGCCAAACCGGTTTCGGCTCTCTTGCATCATTGATGTCTCTCTCTCTCTCTCTCCCGCTCCCTTCCTCTCTGAAATCAATAAAACTATTTTTTTTAAAAAAGGAAAGAATGGAAGAAAGGCAGGGTGAGCAAAGAGGAGTCGGTGAGGCCCCGTGAGATCAGGATGGGAGGGCAGCTTCTGTAAGGGCTCCTCTGCCCCTGGAAACACTTTGACTCAGGGCGTTACTGGAATTTCCGCGGCTTATCACAGCGCTTGCTTTAGATTACACACTCAACAAATTCTCGGTGGAGGCATCCCCGGCTGGTGACACGCAGAAGCCTCTTGTGTCTTAGACTAATAGTGACACCGAGCTTAGATGTCTTTATGCTGCACGTCGCATCCCCGAGACTTAGTTATCTTACAACCGGAAGTTCCTAGCTGTTGACCATCTATCAAGCGATCGCTCTAGCTTAGATATTTTAAGATAATTATTTTTTAATCTTTATTATTGGAAGTATTCCATATGTCCCCCTTTTTCACCATTGAATTCCAGCCCACCGCCGCCCCTCACCCCAGGCCTTCACCCCCCTATTGTCTGTGTCCAAGGGTGACGCCTATAGGCCTATAAGGTCTTTGGTTGATCTCTTCCCGCCCACCCACCCTCCCCCACCTTCCCTCTGGGATTTGATAGTCTGTTCCATGCTTCTCTGTCTTTGGATCTATTTTGTTCATCAGTTTATGTTGATCATTACGTTCCACACAAGGACAATTATTTTTAACAGAGAGGCAACTAGATGCACCTGGTGCCGAGAGGCCTGGACTGAAATATGCTGGCGGTGTGATCTTCGAGAGTGATGCGGCCTCTCAATGCCTCGGGTCCCTCCGCTATAAAATAAAGAAGATGATAATACCTACGCCCTAGAACAGTGGTTCTCAACCTTGGCTGCACATTAGAATCACCTGGGATGAGGCCCAGAAATCAGGATTTTAAAAAGATTCCCAGGTGATTCTAATGTGCAGCCAAGGTTGAGAACCGCTGCCCTAGAACACCGATAATTATGTTTATACAGGAAAGGAACCTGATGGATTTTGAGCACCAATCCATATTAACTGTTATCGCTAACATGAATCTATTGAAGCCATCGGTAATAATGCAGGAAGTTTAATATACTTAATATTAAATGTTAGTCATTCTCCATGTGTATGCCTGCTATGTGTACATAGTATAATTAATGCACACTCTATAACTATATAATGCTTTCTATATGTAATATTCACATACCATCTGGAGTGTCCATGTTAATCCCATGCAGCCCTAGCTGGTTTGGCTCACTGGATAGAGCGTCGGCCTGCGGACTGAAGGGTCCCAGGTTCGATTCCGGTCAAGGGCATGTACGTTGGTTGCGGGCACATCCCCAATAGAGGGTGTGCAGGAGTCAGCTGATCGATGCTTCTCTCATCGATGTTTCTAACTCTCTATCCCTCTCCCTTCCTCTCTGTAAAAAAATAAAAAAATTAAAAAAAGGAATCCCATGCAGTTCACTGAGTGGTAACATACGCAGAGAGGGAATGACTACATGTAAACATGATGGTGATGACAATGACACGGATGAAGGTGTAAAAGGAGAAAAGAATCGTCTCTATTGAGGGGTATTGCTGACCCTTCAGGTATCAATGACAATATAACCATGACCCCAGCCGACTGGCTCAGTAGTTGCGAATGGACCTATGAACCAGGAGGTCAGGGTCAGGGTTCCATTCCCGGTCAGGGCACAGGCCCAGGTCCTGGGCTCCATCCCCAGGGTGGGGCGTGCAGGAGGCAGGTGATCCATGATTCTCTCATCATTGATGTCTCTCTCTCTCTCTCTCTCTCTCTCTGATGCTTCTCTCGCTGCAGGGATGTTCTGGAAGCTTTGGCTCTCCTTGATCCTGGCGGCCGCGCTGGCGAGGGCGGCCCATGGCAGGAAGAACCGGCCGGCGGGCGCCATCCCCTCGCCCTACAAGGACGGCGGCGGCGGCGGCGGCGGCGGCGGCAGCAACAACTCGGAGCGCTGGCAGCACCAGGTCAAGGAGGTGCTGGCGTCCAGCCAGGAGGCGCTGGTGGTCACGGAGCGCAAGTACCTGAAGAGCGACTGGTGCAAGACGCAGCCGCTGCGGCAGACGGTGGGCGAGGAGGGCTGCCGCAGCCGCACGGTGCTCAACCGCTTCTGCTACGGCCAGTGCAACTCCTTCTACATCCCGCGCCACGTGCGCAAGGAGGAGGCGTCCTTCCAGTCGTGCGCCTTCTGCAAGCCGCAGCGCGTCGCCTCGGTCCTCGTGGAGCTCGACTGTCCCGGCCTGGACCCGCCCTTCCGACTCAAAAAGATCCAGAAGGTCAAGCAGTGCCGGTGCATGTCCGTGAACCTGAGCGACTCGGACAAGCAGTGAGCGCGCGCCCTGGGCGCACGCCGCCCCGCCCCGCCCCGCTCCGCGCGCGCCGGTCCCGGTCCCCATCCTCGAACCCGCTCACGCAGCAAGCACGTGCCCTGGGGGCGGGTCGTGGCCACGAGGGGAGCTTGGCTGGTGGGTGGGTGGCCCACCCTGGGCCTCCCGAGCCCGGAGGAAGATGCTGGACCGGCCCCCAGCGGTGGGAGAGGCGTGGATGTTTCCACCGTGTGGAAAGGGGAGCGTTTCTCTGGCCTCGCCTGCGCTCCAGCTCGCCCTCTGCCTCCCGAAGTGAAGGATGCGCCCCTCTTCAGAGCAGCCCCTCAACCCCCTGCTGCTGGTCCCGGTCCCCCTGGCCCCCCTGGTGCCCCCGGGCCCCCTGGTCCCCATGGCTGGGGCTGCCCTCTCGCTGCTGAGCTGCGGATTCGGAACAGCTGCCTGTGGGCGGGGAGTTCCTCGTCCCCTGATGCCAAGAAGCCGACTTGGGTGGCCACATGGGCCTCCCTGGGGGCCTTGCTTACAGCAGGCCACGCTCTCCCCACGCCCTCAGCCGCCGCCACCATCCTCACTCCCCCCACCGCCAACAACGGACTCAAGTTGAACTCGAGCGCATGCTGTTCTCGCTGCCATTCGCCTGTTCTCACACGCACAGCCTGCACTGCGGCGCCCGGCATGGCGGCCTCCCTGGCCTGTACTGTAAAGAGCTGTTCACACGTATTCCAGACCCCGCCTTGTACTGTCTCACGGGTTTGGACCCCGGCTTTGCAGCAGGTTCTGAGTCGAGTTGGGATCAGAAACAACGCCTGGCAGGTGCCTGTTCTAGACTGGGAAGGGGGGTGAGGGAGGAGGGGTGGTTTCCCCTTGAATGGAAGGCAGTCATGGCACCACAATGTAGGCAGCAGGTTGGGGTGGCGGGGGGTGGGGAGGTGGGTACATTGGGAAATTGTTCATCGGAGACCCAGAAGCCCTGAGAATATGTACCAGGCGTAGGTGGGGTGAGAAGGTATACTCTTTCACTGCCATGGCACTAAGCAACACTATTTGAAGAGAGAGAAATAGTAAGATAAGGAGTCAGGTCATGTTGTGGTCTAGGAGAAAGTCAAGGCTACAACATGTCAAATGGAAATCCAGAAACTCTCTCCTGGCAGGAAGCAACCAGCTTCCTTTTCAAAGAACGGACTCACCAATAAAAGATGGGCAGCCTGAGGCCAGCTTGCATTTTTCTAATGAATTCTTGAGGTTCTCATGTTGTGGTCTCATGATGTAAGGCAGTGGACATAATTTAATTTCCTGAAGAAAAATTCTTTTCCCTTTGCTCAACTGCCCCACCGAAAGGTTCCCTGTGAGTGATGCCTATAGAATCTGATAAATGTGAATGAGATGCCAATCTGATGGGTGGGAGTGAGCATGCGCAGAAAGATTGTCCCTGGCAATGCCCAAGCACGGGGTCCTATGCGCTCTGCCGGGGAACTCAGGAAGGCCTGTTAGTTACCCGGATACAGGAGAAAGGGAAACTGAGGCTTCCTGACATCAGAAGGTGATGGAGGGTCTACACATCCCCCTGGAGAGCAAGGATTCGGTGGGCGTGACATGTCCGGGAATCCATTTCCACCTCCCCTGCCCGGTCAGTTTCATTTCCGTTACTTCTGAAACGCCCTTGGACCTGAGCAGAATGTGCAGTTTGTAAAGAAGCTCTTGGGTTCAGAAATGGGCCCGAAGTCAGGGCATTTGCGTGTAGTGGAAACCTCAAGTGAGACTCAGGCAGAACACGCAGCAGAAACGCTGGGAGGGAAGGAACGGAGGCCGATGGAGAGGAGGAGGAGGGGAGGGGAGGGCAGGGCAGGGCAGGGCAGGGCAGGGCAGCGCAGCCTCCGGCCACACTGCAAAGCCAACCCCTGTCATTGTATGAGCACAGAACCGGGCCGGTAGGGGAAGGGTGAAGCCAGGAGCTCACAGAGTGCAAACACTAGCTCACTCGTCTAGCCCAATTGTGGGCAGAGCAATGGAAGCGATACGATATGCTGCAAAGGGGGGTCTTGTATGTACAAAGTTTACCTTCTAATGGCTCAAATCGTATTTAATTGTGTGTGTTTTTGTTTATAAATGAAGAAAAGCTATAAGTATAATGTAATTATTTTATAGGTGTACTATTAAATTATAGAACAAATAAAGAGACTCTAGGATTCTATGGGCTCTTGGTGTGACGCGCCATGAAAGAGACAGTCTGAGCTGGGCTCCGTGGGCAGCCTAGGGGCGCTGAGCGTTAGGAGGGCTTCTGTCCGGCCATGGTGAGTCGAACCCCTAGCCCACATCACATGATCGCCCGCCTTTGGGGCCCGGCATCTTCAAAGAGAATCAGAACCAGGCATCCAAGAGCAGAAGTGCTGGGGGTGGCTCTCAACCCTGGTCTTGGGGAGTTTCCAAGACTCGTCCAGATCCCAGCAGCTGGAGAGAGAACCCTTCCTTCCTTCCTTCCTTCCTTCCTTCCTTCCTTCCTTCCTTCCTTCCTTCCTTCCTTCCTTCCTTCCTTCCTTCCCTCCCTCCCCCCTCCCTCCCTCCCTTCCTTCCTTCCTTCTTTCTTTTAAATATATTTTTATTGATTTCAGAGGGGAAAGAAGAGGGGGGAGAGAGAGAGAGAAAAACATCAATGATGAGAGAGAATCATGGATCGGCTGCCTCCTGCATGCTGCCTACAGGGGATCGAGCCCACAACCTGGGCATGTGCCCTTGACCGGAATCAAACCTGGGACCCTTCAGTCTGCAGGCCAATGCTCTATCCACTGAGCCAAACCCGGTATGAAGAGAGAATTCTTAAGCTGTTCTCACTGTGTTCTCTGAATAAGAAAGACTGAACCAGGAAGCCTGGAGAAGCTGCTGCAAATAGAAGTCTGCTGTCAACCCCGCCTTCCCGTCAGCAGCCTGGGCACACACGAGCCAGAACTTGTGTCTTCCCCGAGCCAGAACTTGTCCTGAGTTTTGTATATTTTCACATTCACTTGTCACGCGTCTCGGCCTTTAATTTAAATCCTTTCGTTTCACAGCATCTCACTTTCTCTCTGAATTGACTTATCTGCCATTCAAGAGACTTAACTACCAATAAAAAAAAAAATGAAAACTTGAATGAAACGGCATACGGTTGGTTTACTGTTGCATTTACAAGGGATTTCATTTGACTTCATAATAAATAATTCAATTTAGTTCATTAAATGGGACCCAACACTCCACTTAAAGGAGACTAAGGCATTCCAATTCACTTGTTTCTGAAGTTGGATGATTGATTTAAAAAAATATATATTTTTTTTTTACTGATTTTAGAGAGGGAGGGAGAGGAAGAGAGATAAAAACATCCATGATGAGAGAGAATCATGGATGGGCTGCCTCCTGCACACCCCCCACTGGGGATCGAGCCTGCAACCCGGGCCTGTGTCCTGGCGGGGAATCGGGGAATCGAACCGTGACCTCTCGGTTCATAGGTCGACTCTCAACCAATGAGCCACGCCGGCCGGGCCTCACCCTTGTTTTATTGATAGATGCCTTTCTGACCATCTGATTTTTGCCTGTCTGATTTACCACTCAGGCCTCCTCCGTGTGTGTGTGTGTGTGTGTGTGTGTGTGTGTGTGTGTGTGTGTGTGTGTATGTGTGTTTTAAATAAACCACATACAGGGAAGCTTCTAATAGCAATTGGTGTGTCCAGGCCCATTATTGCAAACACAGGATTTTATGACAGGACCTAAGGGTGAGACCTCACCTCGAAAAAGCAGACCCCACTGGCTCTCTCTGAAGCCCGTCGCCATGAGCATCCTCTCTCTGCCTCCTCCTCCCAGACCCACACACGGGAAGGACCTCTCACACTGGGTGGCTGGAGCGGCGGGCACCGCTCATTGTAATCAGCGCTGGCGTTTGCATTTTGATTCTCCGTGGCTTTGGGATGACTTCAGAGAGGAGACGGGCTACATGCTCCTTTTATCACACCATTTTAGAACACGAAACCTCTTCCTCTTGCTTCTGATTATATAATTGGAGATGTATTCCATGGGAAACAAAACCCCAAAGTACAGCCTTCGAAAGCCCGAGCTCACTAATGGGCTGGGAAGTGGAAATGTTAATGACAAGCTGGTGTCATACAAAGAATGGTTGCACCGGCTTCCCAGAGCTTGTTAGCAACAACTCCTCCTCCTCCTAAGGTCCTCCTGCCTCCCGTCCACAGTCACTTCATTTTTACGAGACTTCGTTTTGTTTTGTTTTCCCTGACTTGTCTGGCCTTTCGTTGAATTTTCGTTTAAATTCCCTCTTTGCTGCCCTAGCTGGTTTGGCTCACCAGATAGAGCATGGGCCTGGGGACTGAAGGGTCCCAGGTTTGATTCTGGTCAAGTGCATGGGTGGGGTCCCTAGGCATGGCCAGCGATCAGGTCCGATGGGGGCCTTCCGGCTGCTGGCTGGGGCCTTCCTTCATTTCACGCTGCCCCTAGTGGTCAGCACATGTCATAGCGAGTGATTGAACTCCAGGTCTCCCAGTCGAACTCCCAAGGGACACTTTGCATATTAGCCTTTTATATTATATAGACAGCCCTTCACCACTTATTCTGTACCAAATAAATTCCTGCATCTGACTTCTAAAAGATTTCTCAAACATTAATATGTTGTTGTTCATAAGTGGAAAATACTTTTTTCTTCCAATTACATTAGGAAAACTTCAACCTTTTTCAAAATATGTTTTGATGTAGCACAACAATTATTTTATCTTGGAAAACAAGCATTCATCAAATACTTAACTATTAACCATTGTAAATAAGAACATTTAGGAATCTTCACACAGAGATAGTCTAACTTCTTTTCCTCCCAGTTTTATATGCGATGGCTTCATTTTGCAGTATCCTTGGGCAACATGCACGCAATGGACACCGAACCTTTGATTACTCATTTTATTTTCATATAAATTAACATCCTAAAAAATTGAAATAGAAACACTAAATACAGTATTGCACATAGCGATCTTTGTTAAATGCCCTATATTTTCATTGAAGAGTATTAATATACACATTGGAAGGAGGGAAGGAGACAGGAAGACTACAAAACTACAACCAAAAAACCCCACTACGGTTTCTCTGCACTCAAACGACAAACTAAGGTAGGAGACCATACTTTACATAAATACAAACTTAGTTGCGAGTCAGAACGCTCTCTTTTTAAGTTGCTTTCCACAATGGGTTTGCAATAGCCATAAATTCTCCTCTTTATCTACAACCATAACCCCCAACAAATATCATTGAAATAATGTTTTATAAGCCACACCTACTCATGTCAGACAAAACCATCACAACGCATCATAAGCTGACTCGAAGTACTCTCAGAAGAGTCATAGATTTATTCTTTTCCTTCCAACATAAAATAAAATTCTTTCCTGGGTTCCTTCAAATGATGAATAATTGCATACTCATTTTACAGCTTTGAATCACCTGCCATAACATACACAGATGGTCCCAGCGATGTTAAAATACTCCAACAGGTGTGTTTAATTAGCAAGTTCTAGGCAGATGCCAATCCAACAATTAGTTGCGTCTGATACTTTTATGAGCATCACTTATTTAAATTCCTCCAAAATATGGCATCCTATTTTCTTTGTGAAAGGCCATGGCAAAGTGATAGAGAGGCACACCTTTCATTTTCTTTCTTTCTGCTACAGATTCGCTTTATGTAGGGTTTCCAAAGACGGTCTGATAAAAGCCCTCGATAAACAAAACACTGATTTCTGCCTAAATGAAATGATTTATAAGAAAGGGGTTTCCTTCTGCTCTATTTTTTTTTTCATTTTCTTACCAGCAAAAATATGATCATCTTCTTTCACAAATATATATTTATGGAGAGCAACTCAAGGAGTTGGGAAAGCCTTCATGATGATAGATCAACGGTACTTAACTCTTAGGATAGAAAATACAGATGTAGATGTGAACTGATACAACTCACTAGAAATGACATTTCAACCATACACCCGCACGCGGTCATGTGGAGCACTGGTTGTCCGTAGAAAGGAGTCTTATTGTAGAAGGAATATCCTCAGAAAAGTAAATTTTAGGTTAATGTGTAGCATGTTCAGAATTAATGCAGATTCTGCCTCCTCTAACATGCTGTCTCGGTCTATCCGTGTAACACCATAAGCTTTTACAAAAAGGGAAGGTGTCCCATTCTCCACGGGCCTGCTGCTTTTGCATGTTCAAAGGAACGTACAGTGAAACTCAACCATCAGTCAGCTGTCTAGAGAACACGGAGAGGAGGCAAGGGGTCAAGAAGAAAATGATCGGAATGATGCCGTTCCCTTCGGGCCTTCGGGTCGGCGGAATGTTGTGTAAGTGGCCAGAGGGTGACCATCCTGTTTTCCTTTGTTCAGGTTTTCATGCTGATCTTTGCTTTCTGAAAAGAAACGCACCAGGTAAGAGTGATCGTTAGAAACGAGAAGTTTACAAATGTATGGAGTTTAGAGGAGCCCAAACAAGACCTTTTCTTTTGGACCAAATTCCCTGGGAAAGGTTAAAGGTCAACCAGCCCATACAGGAAAAAAATATCTAACTAGAATATGTTTCATCTTTTAGAATTTTCACCAAGACAGACCACTCAATAATTCTGAGTGGAAACCAAGATTTTAAAATTTAGTTTCTAATTGATGGGAAAGAGCGCCAACCCAACTTTCTCATTCTCGGTTTTATGCACATATACACTAATTAGGAAAATTAAACTGGCTATATCACAGCATGATTGGGGTTAACTACTAAATAATTATTCCTTCTCATCCAATGCACTTTAAATTTGGACTTTAATCAAAATGACAGAAAAGAAGGTAAACCATCATATACCACTTGTCACTAGTGAAGAATGATTCTGATACAGAGAAATTGAATGGAAAATAGCTTTTATTTTTCTAATTTTTTTGCATTTGGTTATTTATTTATTTAGGTAGCTAGCTAATTAATGATTGTGCTTAGCTAATAGTTCAAGACTCATTGTCTTGCTGTCCTGTCATTTTTACATTTATTTTTCAATGATAGTTGACATTCAGTATTATTTTATACTAGTTGTGGGTACACAGTATAGTGTTCAGACAATCATATAATTTACAAAGGGATACCCCTGATATTTCGAGTACCATACATACTTATTAAGTATTATTGATTACATTCCCTATTCTGTACTTTACATCCTGGGACAATTTTGTATCTAACAATTTGTAATTCTTAATCCCTTCCCCCTTTTCATCCTGCTCCAGCACCCCCCCCCCCCCCACACACACACCTCCTCCCATCTGGCAGCCTTCAATTTGTTCTCTGTAACTATGAGTCTGTCCCTGTTTTGTTTATTCATTTATTTTGTTCTTTAGATTCTACATATAAGTGAAATCATATGGTATTTGTCTATCTCTGTCTGACTTATTTCACTTAGCACAATATCCTCTAGGCCCATCCATGTTGTCACAAATAGTAAGATTTCATTCTTTTCTATGGTCAAGTAATATTCCATTGTATATGTGTACCACAGATTTTTTTTTTAATTCACTCATCTATTGGTGTAAAATTGGGTTGTTTCTATATCTTGGCTACTGTAAGTAATGCTGTAATGAACTTAGGGGTGTATATATCTTTTAGTGTTTGGGATTTCCTTGGCTAGATACGCAGAACTGGAATTGCTGAGTCTTGAGGCAGTTCTATTTTTAATTTTAATTCCTCAGTATTGAGGAATCTCCAAACTGTTTTCCAAAGTGGCTGCACCAATTTGTAATCCCCGTCAACAATGCCAGAGGGTTGCCTTTACTCCAATCCTTGTGTTTATTGATTTGTTGATGATAGCCATTCTGACAGGTGTAAGGTGGTATCTCATTGTGGTTTTAATTTGCATTTCTCTGATGATTCTTGTTACTGAGCATCTTTTCATATGTCTGTTGGCCATCTGTATGTCCTTTTTGGAATAATGTTTATTCAGGTCCTCTGCCCATTTTTTAAATTGGATTGTTTGTTTTGTTGGTGTTGAGTTGTATGAGTTCTTTATCAATTTTGTATATTAACCCCTTGTCAGATGTATCAATGGTGAATATTCTCTTCCATTCAGTAGATTGCCTTTTCATTTTGTTGATGGTTTCTTTGCTGTGCAAAAACTTCGTAACTTGATGTGGTCCCATTTGTTTATTTTTTCTTTTGTTTCCCTTCCCCAAGGAGATATATATAAAAAAAATATTGCTAAGAGAAACATCAGATATTTTATTGCCTATCTATTTTTTCCAGGGTTTTTAGGGTTTCAAGTCTTACATTTAAGTCTTTAATCCACTTTTAGTGTATTCTTGTATATGTTTCCATTTATATGTATCTTCTTCAATTTCTTGGATGATTTATAATTTTCTGAGTATTGGTCTTTTGTCTCCTCGGTTAAATTTATTCCTAGGCATTTTTCTTTTTGATGCAATTGAAAATGGGACTGCTTTCTTAATTTCCCTTTCTGATCATTCATGATTGGTGTATAAAAATGCAACTGACTTATTAATATTATATCCTGCTACATTACTGAATTCATTTTTCATTCTAGTAAGTTTTTGGTGGAATCTTTAGGACTATTTATATGTAGTATCAGGTCATCTGCAAATAGTGACAATTTTACTTCTTTCTTTTGGATGCCTTTTATTTCTTTTTCTTCTCTGATTGCTGTGGCTAGGACTGCCAATACTATAGTGAATAAAAGCTGTGAAAGTGGACAACCCTGTCTTGTTCTTGATCTTAAGAAAAACATCTTTAGCTTTTTCCCATTGAGTATGTTAACTGTGGGTTTGTCATATATGGCTTTATTATGTTGAGGTACGTTCCCACTTTACAGAGAGCTTTTATCATAAATGGATGCTGGATTTTGTCAAATGCTTTTTCTGCATCTTTTGATATGATTTTCCCCCCTTCTTTTTGTTTACATTGTATATCACATTAATTGATTTGTACCTATTTTACCAACCTTTCATCCCAGAGATAAATCCCACTCGATCATGGTGTATGATCTTTTGAATGTATTTGCTAGTATATTGTTGAAGATTTTTGCATCTGTGTTCATCAGGGATATTGGCCTATAATTCTTTCATTGCAGTGTCTGTATCTGGTTTTGGAATTAGGATAATACTGGCCTTGTAAAATGAGCTTGGAAGCCATTCCTTCTCTTGAATTTTTTTGGAAGAGTTTGAGAAGGATAGGTGTTAATTCTCTGAAAATTCACCTGTGAAGCCATCTGGTCCAGGACTTGTGAAGGGAAAACAGCCTGGCACTGAAGTCGCAACTCATAACTTTTTCTAAAGAGGGCTATTTAGTCCTATAAAAACTTGGGTTGTTTTAATATCTTTTCCATTTAGACTATGTTAGACTAATCCAGTTGAACATTTTCCCATTTTAAAACCTAACCCGACTTTTCATCTAAAAGAGCACCATTTACTTAGTCTGTGGCACCAAGTGCTAATCCCTCGCAACATTCGGCAAAACATTGACCGTGTCCACGAGGTCACGAGGGAAAACTCATCATTTGCACTAAGCCCTCCCCTCACAGGGTGCAAAACTTGGCATTTTCTTTTGAAGGAAGAAGTGGGCAAGGAGGAAACTTAGAACAGCTTGTTCAACTCGGTTTACTGACCGACAGCTGTGAAGCAGCCAACCGTGTAGAGACATTTATGGGGACAAACCAGGTGCGAACCCTCTGGTCTTAGCAAAGAACCGCTCCGCACTTGGCTTTTCCCGTTATGTTTCAGATCCCAATGGCACTATTGCAATTCTAACAGCCACTCTGGGTTCAAATGCAGCCCTGGGCTGTGGTCACGTGTAATGAAGAGAGTGAAAGATCAACCCAACCATCCTCCTCTCCCCCGCCATTCCCGCTGGTATACACCCATATCCACATAGAAGCACTCAGTAGATTTATCTTACTTCTTAAGCTTGGATGCTGAACCCTGTGATGCTTCTTAGCATCTTAGGCCTAATCAAAGCCTCAGGAAAAGGGAGTTCTCTAAGTTAGAAGCTCATTATTTATTCAAACTTAAGAGGAAAATCATTAAAATACTCCATGTTTGTATATATTGTCAACACAGTATTTAAACGCCAAAGAAAAAGTCACAGGTTAAAGAATAGAAAAGTGAGGTACTTACAATCCCGGAGTCGTGTCTTGGCTTTATTTTATAAAGTGATTTTCCCTTTTTCTGCCTACACACCTCTTCAGCTTCTTTTACTCTGGGTGGGGAGAAGACACGGGAATTTGTGAATTGGAACAAAGACCTACACAGATCACAGCAATTCACCTTTACAGTTGGTGAGCAAGCATCAACTCATTAAGGATTTGAATTATTGGGAAAAAAAAATACACAGAAATGTCATCTGACATTTGATTTAAAAATGGAGAATGGCATGAACGGACTGTTGAACCTCAGAGGGAAGGCAGGGCAGGGTGGGTGGGAAGAGGTCAACCAATGAACTTGTCTGCACATATGCATAACTCATGGACACAGACAATAGGGTGGTGAGGGTCTGGGGGTGGAGAGGATGGGAGCGGGCTGTAAGAGGTTTATAAGGGGAAGGGGAGAGGAGGACCTATGTAATACTTTCAACAATAAAGATTTTAAAAATAAAAGCAATAAAAACATAGACTGTCAGAGCTAGAGGCAAATTCATCCGGGGGTTCTTAACCTGGAATCAAAGGATGCAGAACGGAATCATATACAAAAAGATGAATATTTTTATGTACACATTTCATCCTCTATTAAAAAAGCCTTTTATACAAGAAAGTATATAAAAATGTTATATATACAAGACAGCAAAGAAAAAGTCCTCATTTTTCAGGTGAGCATACTCAGATTGGCTCTCTTACATGAATAGGACAGGCACTATAACATAAACCCAGAAGCACTAAAATAATTAAACTAACAGCATCACATAAAAACTCAAAAGCTTCCTTAAAATGACTTCAGAGTCACTTTCCACATCACATTCAGACACATGCATGAAAGTCCATGGCACTGAATACTGGGGTGGTTTTTGAAAAATGGAATTTCATCAGGCATGGGAACCAATCATTTAATTGAAAACAGAAAATGGAGAGTGAGCAATAATGACATTTTCATACCACGAGGATGTCTTTTTAAATGCACACGCCAAGGAAAACAGTAATGCATTTGCCAGAGGTAGAGTTAAAAAAGGATGTTATTTGGAGATTAAGTTCTGGCTTTGCTAGGGACATTGGGCAACGTCTTGATATTCTGATGCCATTGACCTTGTATTCCCTCAAACAGCAAAAGGGATCAATGATATATCACAGCATTACTATTATTACTACACAGAGCTGTTGCAAAGATTAAAAAAAATTATATAAAATTTCTTTCTAAAAACTTAAAATACTATAAACAGCTATGCAGGTTTTCTTCAAAGGTACCGTAGGACATCTACAAACTAGAATCCTATTAATCTAATCCTATTAATATAAAGGGGTACCAGAGGAAGGAAAATGACCTATCAGATTAATGGTATTTTGTTATTATGGTTTACTGAGGGAATGAAAAAATCGAAGTATTTCTGAAGAAAGTAAAAAGGCCATGGCATTTTAATAAAAGACTCTGTGTGTACGTCTGGAAGGCTATTTTGTCAAAGAAATGAATTATAAATATATTTCTCCAGTCCTGTGGCAGAAGACTAATGAGAGAATTCATTTCCAAGGGAGCTGGGTGAACCTCTGGTCTTACACAGCTGAATGGAACAAATCGTCCAGTACAGGAGTCACAGGCTGGTGCCAGACTTTACCTGAAGGTGTGACCAATGAAAGTAACTCCTTCAGGACATAAAATGCCTGTGGGGTTGATAGTGTTCGCAATTCCAGAAAATGATGACACTCCATTGTTAACACTTTTCGGACTTTCCACCCAGGCCATAAACCGCCTTTAATCCTTTCTCCAAACATTTGAAGACAAAAATATGTTCTTTAGAACAAACCGAGGATTGCAGAATCCCCATCCTCCTCTAAAGCCACGATCAGTAAATTCAAAATGAAGTATTTGGACAGGGAATTAAGGAAACTTCTTTCGTAGCCAAAATCCAGCATATTCCCTCTTAAATTTGCTTGGAGGACTTTACAGCATTTGGGGGCATTTCTAAAAATGGCCGTCACAAGCATGGAGATCACCAAAGCCTCTTCATTTTCTCTCTGTCTTATTTATCTTGTTCTCAAAACACATTTTTGGAAGGATCACAGGAAGCCGCGTCTAATACGCACATATTTAATTTTACACAAAAACCAATCCGGCCATTCCTCACGACAAAGAATGTGCGTCAACGAACCCTCCCAAGACCGCTGAGCTCATCCATTTATTTGACAATCATTTATGGAGGAGCAACTGCAGGTCAGGCACTGGGATGGGCTCAGTTTTATAAGGACAATTAAACTCAAGGTCTAACAGGAGAGAGACACACATAAGCAAGGGGAGCGCATGGACCGGCTGCCTCCTGCACGCCCCCCACTGGGGATGGAGCCCGCAACCCGGGCCTGTGCCCTGATGGGGAATCGAACCGTGACCTCCTGGTTCATAGGTCGACGCTCAACCCACGGAGCCACGCCGGCTGAGCTAACCAGTCTTTTAATTCTTTTCTTTTCAGAGAACTGAGTTTTCCAACTATCTTCCTGGAGATGCTTTCTTAATCTCTTTTCTTAATTATGAAACTTCCCCTCTAATGTTATTTTTCCTCCCAGGGCTCTAATCTGGACTCTGATCTTGACCGTGATTTCATCGGAAATCTCCACTTCACAATTCCAACTACCCTTTCTACGCTGGAGACTTCAGACCCGCACCTCCAGCTCTGGCCTCCCCAGGCCCCTGCTCCAAATCCTGGTTGACAGTATTCTCCTCTCTCTCACCTCTAAGCACATAACCAGTCACCCTCTGAGCAATTCCTCTCCCTCTTCACCACCCCCTCATGCATATGCAAATAGTCAACAAATTCTGTTATTCATTATTCTTTAATGATTTTAAAATCTGCCCCAATATCTCTAATTCTATTGATATTTTGTTTGTTTGTTTCTGTTAATCTTCACCCGCAGATATTTTTTTTCCATTGATTTTTAAAGAGAGTGGAAAGGAAGGGGAGAGACACAGAGAGAGAAACATCAATGTGAGAGAGACACATGGATCGGCTGCCCCCTGCACGCCCCCTACAGGGGATCCAGCCTGCAACCCGGGCATGTGCCCCGACCAGGAATCGAACCGTGACCTCCTGGTTCATTGGTTGACACTCAACTACTGAGCCGCTCTGGCTGGGCTAAGACTAAATCTTGTAAAACTCTGAACATATAAATGATGGCAGTTTAAAATAATTTTTGAAAAGAAACTATTTAGGAAAACTGGCCACAAGATTTATCAAATGCTGGGGAACAGTACTATAACCGGACACATTTTGAACTCTATTCAAGGAAAAGTAGTAATGGAAACACAATGGGCTTTAGAGTTCATCTTTGAAAAAGGAAAGCACGTAAGGCTGTCCAGAGAAAACACAACTACCACCACATTCTCTTGCTTCTAACTTCTAGGAGGAATTCTTTTTCAAAATAAGAAATGTGAACTACCGTTAGTACAAATCTAACAATCCAGAAGACAGAAATTTCTCCAGTGGTCTTTTAGAAAAAAAAAAAAAAATCCTCCATATAAACTGAGATTAATTTTTAAACTTGAACTTAGTGAAGACATTTCTGAGGACATTTCTAAAAACTCTAGGACAGTCAGCATATTTCCTCAATTATCTCAAACTAGAGGCCTGGTGCACAAAATTCGTGCAAGGAACTTGGCCTTCATAGCCCTGGCTTGTCTGGAAGGTCGTCTGGAAGGTCGTTCGGCTGTCCGGTCTAATTACCATATTACGCTTTAATTATCATAGATTGCAATGGTCTCAAGTGAACAGCAGTCAGCAAGGGGCTCCTCTCGGACAAGTGCTGGGAATACCAACAACTCCATGCTGGTGAAGGAGGGAAATCAATTCGCTTCTGGGATCAGATGAGTAAAGAGCAGTGTTCCCATCCCATTGTGTAAATAAGGGGCCTGAATTATATTCTGTCAAACCAGGGGTAGCCTTCGTCCATGATCTCCCACAGGAACTTAACATGGTATCCGAAAATGTGGACAAATCTAGAACTTTCCAGTTAGGACTTTTTAAAATGCTTAGAAAATTGGTTCTCAACCTTCCTAATGCCGCGACCCTTTAATACAGTGCCTCATGTTGTGGTGACCCCCAACCATAAAATTATTTTCGTTGCTACTTCATAACTGTCATTTTGCTACTGTTATGAATCGTCATGGAAATATCTGATCTGCAGGATGTATTTTCATTGCTCGCGACCCACAGGTTGAGAACCGCTGGCTTAGATGATAATCATTTAATAGTCATTTGAATAGGATATGGATGTTCCTACACACATTAGAAATTTTAAGCTTCTAATCACATTTTTCATCGCTAACTTGAAATCTCTGATTTAGAAAAAAATAAAGGCTTGTTTTTCTCCTGGATCATGTCATAGGGACAATTTTTATTCTCTATTAGATGTGGATTTACATGGAATTCACAAAAGTACGTCAACTGAATTGTCTTTTTTTAAAAGTCCTGTAAAAATAAACATGTTCTTTCTGTATATACTGAGGATTTTTAGATTTCCTCAACAAAACAGTGAAATGACACTCCCCTGTCACACAAAATGTCATACGTGATGGCCAAAGCTATGACAAAATCCCATTTGACAGCAAATGTCATCTTTTATTACGAGAAAATGGGGTTGGTTACTACAACGGACATTTTTCATGCAGACATCCTTTTCTATTTACCTTTCCTAAACTGTACCTTTACCCTCCACCTTTGTTAAGGTATTTCCTGCATCTCAGTGATTTTTAATTTGCAAATGGCTCAGAGAGTTTTTCATTAGACTCAGTGAGTGATCAAATTAAGTTTTCCTGGTACTTACACGTGGTGTAGGCTTGGCTACTTCTCCAGCCAGGACAATATGTACTTAGATCCTGTTTTCATAAAAGACTTTCTTTGGTGGGGAATTCTAGTTTGGAGAGAGTTTATCACATTTCCTCCTTGTAAGACTCATAAAAGAGTACAACAAAGCTACTTGTATCATAATGGCGCAGAATTATGCAAGAGGAAGAACGGCTTAATTAAGGAGTGAGATGTGGGAGATACGAGGCAGAAATGGGATCAAG